CAAGATCCCCTGAGCAAATTGGAAGCACGGGAAGAGGGGGGAGGGAGCTTGGAGAATGAGAAGGGGAGAAGAGGAGGGATGCAGAGGACATGAGGGAGCAGAAAGGTTGAGTCAGGGGAAGAATAGAAGAAAACAAGAAAGGAGATACCATAATAGAGGGAGACATTTTAGGTTTACAGAGAAATCAGGCACTAGGGAAATGTCTGGAGATCTACAAAGATGACACCAGCTAACAATCTAAGCAGAAGAGGAGAGTCTACCTTAAATGCCTCCCCTTATAATGAGATTGATGACTGGCTTATATGCCACCTGATAGCCCTCATCCAGCAGTTGGTGGAAGTAGAAGCAGACACCCACAACTTACCACTGAACTGAACTGGAACCCAGATGCAGAGAAGGACGATTGAAGAGCAAAGGAGTCCAAACCAGGCTGGTGAAACCCACAGAAACAGCTGACCTGAACATCTGGGAGTTCTTGGTCCCCAGACTGATAGCTGGGATACCAGCATGGGACTGATCCAGACCCCAGGAACATGGGTTTCAGTGAGGAAACCTCGAAAATCTATGGGACCTCCTGTAGTAGATCAGTACTTATCCCTAGCATAGGTGTAGACTTTGGGAGCCCATTCCATATAGAGGAATACTCCCTGAGCCAAGACACACGGGGGTGGGCCTAGGCCCTATCCCAAAGGACATGATAGACTCTGATGACCCCCTATGGAAGGCCTCACCATCCAGGGGGAGCAGAAAGGATATGTGATAGGTATTAGTTGGTGGGGGGTGGTAGGGGAGGATGGGAGGGGGAAGGGAACTGGGATTGTCATGTAAAATAATCCTGTTTCTAATTCAAATAAAAAAATCTGAAAAAAAGAGCTAGTTCCAGGACAGCCTCCAAAGCCACAAAGAAACCCTGTCTCGAAAAACCAAAAAAAAAAAAAAGGAAATTTTGAAATTCTGATAAGCTCCCTGCCATTAGACTACCCAGAGACATGGAGTCAACACCAATGTTGTCTATAATCTCTCCTCAAAGACACAAATTTATCTGCAGTAAATGTACAGTGGTAACTAGCTATAGTAAATAGACAGCCAGTATGGTCACCTCTGTTGTAAAGGCCAAGAGCTGCATACATGGAGAATTAATGTGGCAAATGAAGTTAATTTTCTAAGCAACTGACCTGAGAAAAGTGATACTAACTGTGTGTGTGTGTGTGTGTGTGTGTGTGTGTGTGTGTGTGTGTGTGTTTTCTAACTTGTGTTTTCTTAGCAAATGAAAGTGACCCAATGCTGCTGGGATGGAAGGTAGAGGAGAAGAGAAAAAGCTACCACAACTAACCATTTTAAATTTGAAGTAGATCTTCCAAAGTGACATTCTAAACAAGATTTCACTTATTTTTCATAGCAACTATAGGTAGTGTGAAGAAAATGTTATTATCACCCTGTAATAGACAAGGAAACTGAGGCAGAGATAAAGTCTAAGTGATTCACTATTGGCTAGGATCTGTGTCCAGGACATCTCACTAAATCATCACTTAGTACTCTGTGTCTATTACCTATAAAACATTGCATTGCAACTTTATCAGAGTGTTACAGTAGTGGAAAAGACCACATACAAAAATGTATAATGCTAAACTGTTATCTGAGCGTGGGCTTCCAAAGCAAATGATGCAGAAAAGAACAGGAAAAGTCAGGAGATAATTATCTGTTTGGGACTAGAAAATCTTCATTATATTCATTCCCCATCCTAAGGTCTTTTTTCTTTCCTATCTAGAACTGGTATTAGAAGATAAAAGAGTATTGGCTTTCTGGCCTTTACAGGCCTTCACAAATTTCTATCTTTTAACCTTTCCCTCAGACACAGCAGGGAGACAAACCAGGTTTCTTGACTACAGAATTACCCTCTTCCTGTGTTCTCTTTCCCTTTCACTCTGGGCCTTGCTACCCACAAGGTATCAGTGGAGCAGCAGTTCCAGCACCTGAGGGGAGCCTGGTAGGAAGGCAGGTCCCAAGTTCCAGCCCATCCCCCACACCAGAATGTGCATTCTAAACAAGATACATTGAGACCTGAGAACTACTGTGTTCAGCCGTCACTTCATGAACTGACCCCTCCGTTTGGCACCACTGGTCTCCTTCCAGTCTGTCTCCCTCCTTTCCTTCTTCAAACAATCAGGTCCACGACGAAGAAAAAAGTGAGAAAACACATGGACTCATCCAATGACTAGGATCTTTCTAGCTCTCAGGTCAGCACACTTTTGTTTCCCTGTTTACCATGTTTTGAAACTAATGGTATGTCCCTGTTCTCTTTACTCTTCATTCATGTTTCTTTCTTAAAGCCATGAAACTTGATGTCCATGCCAAAGTAATTGGAGCACATGGATATTATATACGGGCATATGTGTGTATGTGTGCATGTATGCCTCATGTGTGTGTGTGTGCATGTGTGTGTGTCTTTGTGTAGTAAAAAATAGTTTACTTTGGTGAGGTTGGATCAACACTGGAGACTTGTACAATTATTAAACGAATGCCGTTCTCGGGCATTTGTTGCCAGACCACATCTGCGTGCCCACTCTCAGCACTCATGTATGTTCCTGCTTAGTGGCCGGGTTGACCTGTACCAGGACAATGAATGGAGTGCCTCCTGAGCACTGCACTTACCCGAAAGACAGAAACATCACACAGTACAGTCACAGAATTCTTGAGAAGGACAGCACCTAAAGCCTTCAGTCAACTGAGTGTCAGAATGGCTAGTCCATGGGTCGTGGTATATTAAAAATGAAGAAAAGACCAAACAGTCAATGGAAGTCAAGGGACTCCTCACCATCCAGCATCACACATAAATAAGGTGGGACAGTGAGGAGCCAGAAGACAGACAGAGCTAGACCCTTCTCTCCATCCACTTGCTTTCTGAAGGCATGTTGCACAGCAGGGCATGGGACCAGTGATGCTTTAATTCACTGGGCATCACGGCCCACTCACCACTATGGAATCTGAGCAACTCGCTCGCTTGTGATTGGATGTTGTGCTGTTCATAAGATCTGCGTCTTAGGAAGACAAATGGTGAGCATAAAGGAGAAGGACCACAGTGAAAAGGGGGTGTACCCAAAGGTTAATGTGCTCCTCAGCCCACTTCTGACCGATCACCTAGCGCCACACAGTCTGTTTACCTGATGCACCTGGAAAGAGCTGTCACACTTCACCTTTGGAAATGGGCCATTACTCCTGGTGACAGATTATGAATTGTGGAATATGGCCAGCACCTGGCCAGACAAGGAAGAGTTCATAAATCAGACTCAAAAAGAAATACTTGAGTGACATTGTGAGTTCTTTGGGGGGATTGTAAAAGACATGTAAGGAGGGGATCGGTTTAGAACACATAGGTATATGTATACCGCAGTGCTGGGCATGGCATGAGGACTGCTGGCTTTCAAACATCTTTGAGGGTCTACAAAAGAACTATTTATTTTGTTTGATGTTTTAGAGCTAGCTAAGTAGTTTTATCTTCCCACATTTCTCTGAGCCTTCTAATGAAAAACGAGATGAAATGAATTATCTCAACAAAAAGCAGAAGTGGTTGATTCTCTGGAGTTGGTTTATTTTACAAATAGTCCAGGAACCAGCCTCAACTTGGCAGATAATACCACACAAATTGCTAAATGGGCAGTAATCAGTGAAAATAAGCATTTAGTAGCATGTGAAGCCACCCAGGAAAAAGTCAACGAAAATGAAATATCGACACATAAATATCCACAGGGACAAGTAATCAAAACCCCTTAGTAGAAGATGGGCTCCAAATTTTTGCTTTGTGAGATTGGCATGAGATACCCAAATGTTATTTTTAAAATTATTATCTAAAAATATGTTCCAGTGTACATGAAAGGCCAGAAAATGGCATCTTGTAGAGAGATACTGGTAATGAAGAAAAGACTGTTCTTTCCACAATTCAGTCCAGGTTGACTGCATACGCATTGCCAAGGAGCCAAGAGTTCCTTTCTGATTTGCCCTACTCAGCCTTTACTCTGCAGAGTAGTCATTGTGCCTTTAGCACTTTTTTTTTTTTTTAAATCAGGAGAGCAGCAAAGCATCTATACATTTTTTTTTGAAAAGATAAATGAGACTAAATAAATATATATAAGTCATTACTGTGGC